CTTTTCACTGACAGTTATCGTGGTATACTTGGAATACCATTAATCAGGAACGGAATGCCTTCATTGTTACTTTTTTCTTTGTCAATATAAGATTTGTTAACATTTCAGCTGCAAGAGGATTACCATTATTTCACATTCACTTACGTGCTTCACGTGTGGTCACGTGGTTTTATACTGCCACACATCAGAAGTCTGTATGCAGTTGAACGTTGACTAAATTTCAGTGTTTCCGCCAAATCAGCACTCTCTACTTGTTGTTACCTTTGTGAGAAGTAGGCGGGCTCCTATGTAGGCGGGTCATTCGTGTCCAGGATGGGGCTGACTGCACATGGCAGTATTACGTGGTCTACCTGGGTAACCCTGGTATGATGTTTGCCCTTCTGGGTGACAGCTGTTAATATTTGGGAAGTCATTATGTTCAGTAACAATCTCTTTGTAACCTTCAGTGTTTCTTGGTGAGTGTATGAAATCAAATGAGGCCAAACACAGTTGAAACCCATAAATGTTTCCCCACTCATGATTAGAACATTAAGAAACACATCAGTGTCATGTTTGGCTTTAGAGCAAAGTTTATAAAAATGATCTGAAACGACACAGCTGTGAAACCAGGTGTGCTGGATCATATTCACATCTGTAATGCGTTCCTTATTAAAGCTGCTAATGGAAGATGGTTTTTCACCTCTGAAGGTCTGACCTGCACTTTGTTTCAGAACCACCGCTGAATAGTTTCTTTTTCTCTGCTAACAGAACAGTCTGATTAAAGGAGTGTACCCCGCCAGCCCGTCATCCTGGCTCTTCGTTGCCATAGGAATCCTGGCCACCATGTACATGCAGTCGGATCCCAGCATGGGGCTCATCACCAAGATACAGCAGCACCTGCCGCTAAGGTACACAACGGCAATGTCAGTGGCAAAGTTCTTTAAATGGGCAAAATGATTTGATCAGAATCAGAATCAGAATACTTTATTAATCCCTGGGGGAAATAATAATGCAGAGTAGACAAATTAGACCATAATTGTGTTGTTGTTGGGTTATGTTTTAATCAAAGTAACAAAGCTGAAGGTGCAAAAATAGGTGAGCACATGGAATCATAATTTAGCCTTATCAGGGTAAACTCTGCTCTTATCTCGTCTGCTGTGGGTGACGACAGGGACGAAGTGTATGTATGTGTGTGCGTGCAGCAGAGAATGATGAAGCTACCATGATTGGTGGATACATGAAGTGGTGAAAATGTAAAATGGTTCATGGGTACTTTATCTGACTTACCAGTTGTAAATAGACTTTTATTCTCTACTCGATCACTCAAAACACTTCATACAGCTCATTCACCCATTCACACAGCACTTTTTTGTTCTTTTTCTACACCTAAGCGCTGTTCTGTCAATCATTCATTGTGAAGAACGCCTCGAGAGCAGCTCTGTATCTTCCCCAAGGAGCTTTTGGCGAGCAAGGCCCATGAATGATCAAACTTCTCTCAGAGTTCTGCAGACAAATCAAGTGTCAAGAAACTATAACGTGATGCTTATTTTAAGCCCAGCATCTTCCTTACCTCCTCAGTTCAGTTGTTATGTCTTTGATGTCATGTTGTTCTGGAAGTTTTGCTCTTGCTCATGTTTTTATGTTGCTTAGTAGAGGTGGGAATCACCATACATCCCACAATATGATATTATCACAATACTTAACGCACGATACGATATTA